CTAGTTTATACTTTTTCTTTTTATTTCTTTATTTGTTTATTTATATTGATACATAGTTTTTTCTATTAATTAATACTCTTCGTGGGATGAACGGGAATGATGATTATTCATGTGTGGTAAGACCGTGTCCTTATTGCAAAGGAGCCCACTTTTGGCAACAATGTCAATATATTTCCCGAGGGAGAATTGTGTGCACAGTCTTTATCATATAGCTTTGTAGTGATTTGTGGGTCGGTTGTACCGTGTTTTGCTACCCTACCATGATGATTCTAATAATCTTTGTTCCTTTGATAGTATGAAATCTTGCAGGAAATTAATAGAGGAATATGAAGAGCGTCATAGGAGAATCATATATGTAATGTCACACCTTATAGATAGAAAAATGAAGCATTTTCAAGATGTTGATTTTTTTTCTTGCATACTCAGAACTTAAGCAATGAATTGAATGCAAAGGTTGCTCCGTTAGACGTTCAACAATCCAATTATGAGTTTTGTGATACTGAAAAGGCGCTCAGAAGTCAAATAGAGATTCTAAAATGGGAGGAGATACAATGCAATCAGACTTTTCTTGAAGGTTACACGTTTGAGAAATAGTACAAAAGTGAGAATGTTGTAAATAATGTTGCTTTGGAGTCGAGGCAACTTGAATCTCATTCAAAACACTTTTCTATATTATACTTAGATGGCGACATGAAAATCGAGTCATCTGAACTAATGAATGAGTGTATAGATGAGGAACAAGGCCCCTACATTCTAATGTTTTTTAGTCCACGTAGACAACGACATTCCTCACATAAGGGCCAAGAAGTGCAAGATGCAACATATATTACTTGGTTCCTTTATCTTAATACCACTGCCATTAGAGAGGAGCAGAAAAATTGATGCAAAGTTAGGGGTAAATTTCATAAGTTCAAAGTGGAAAGAAAAGTGGTGAATTTATTTGTGTCGTGCCGCGACATTAAATTAGGCGCTTATTGGGAGGCAGCCCAATTACTAGTGTAGCTTCTTATTTTATTTTATTTTATTAGTGTCACTTTTTTTGTTTTTTTGTTTTTTTTTTTTTTTGTCTTGTTTTTGCATATTAGGGGAAGTCTGAGTACCCAAAAATTTGAAGCGAAGGAACACGTTTGATCTTGAGTGTGGGGTACGTACGATCTTTCATGAAAATTAAGAGAACATGCTACTAGCTAGGCCTGAAGGCCTCAGGGAGTTTTCCTAACCCTTGTTTTAAATTTTATTTGATGTTTTGGGTGCATATCATTTTTTTAAGTATGGGGTGGAGGAATGAATTCCTAGTTTTTACTGTTTTATTGTGTCTTTTCTTTTTTTAGGATGGGTTCCTTGGCTTTTGTTTTCGGTTCTTTTCCTTATCATAGTCCCACTGAACCAAGTGTCTTTTATTTTTTTAGGAATAATTTTTTTTGAGGAAAGAAAAGATCCTTTTGAGTGGTGTGATACTTGCTATTTAGGCCTGATTTTTGAGTAGTGATTTCTTGTGAATGCTTGATTGATAAGGAAATTGCAGACTCGGTGACACCGAGGCTCATGGTTGTGACTTTGTATATAGCTTATTTTATTTTGTAGTTTGTTATGATCATGTCTCTCTTAAAAGTAAAATTGATCCATCTTGATTGATACTTGTTCCATGTGTGGTGAGAATTTGTTTATTCCATGTTTCGCATCTTAGTCTAAAACTTGCCCTGCATGTTATTGAAGCGAAATAAAAAGTGTTGCTTTGTTTAGGAGATGATAATAGGCTTTCTTTGATTTGTCTTGTAAATTTTAGTCTTTTCAAATATTATATCATTAGTTAGTCCTTTTGAGCCTGTAGCCTTTTGTTGGTAGCCATATTTTGCCCTTTACTATTTCTGAATCCCTAATTTTTTCACCTTGCTTCTTTGAGCATTATAGCATAGACTTATTCTAATTGTTAATTCTGAAGAAAAAATTATCGTTGAGTGAAAAGGTAATCAACGATAGCTACAAAGTGCTTAAAAATCCCTCTTTGAAAGAATGTGATATGAAAAAAATAAGAAGAGAAGAACAAAAGAATGTGACATTAAAATAATCCTTTGAAAAAAATAAGAGAAAAAATGATTGAAACATTCTTGAGATGATTTGTGAAATAAATGTTGAAGAGAGGGCTGAAAATAAAGAGAAGAAAATAATGGGTGATGAAATCTAAAATTGTCAAGTGCTTAAGGAAGTGTAAGTCCCTATTATATAGTTTTTCTACCCATCCCCTAGCCTACATTACAACCCGTTAAAGTTTTGATTTTATTCAAGCATCCTTAATTAGTTGAGATGTACATAATGGGCAAGCATATGATTCTTTGTGCATACATGTGAATTTTATTTCTGAGTGTGAGTTGTTCTTTGATGCTAAGTCCTTAATTTATATTTGATCTTTTGAATTGAGTGTGTGGACTATTTTTTCTTGTGAGGGCACTTGTTTCACGATGGATAGGTGATTCTATTAACTTTCTTTGATGAGAGTAGGTGAGCAAGCTTAAATTTTATGAGTTCAAAGTCCTTCCTTGAGGTTAGGAGGTTAGAGGTTTGTTGTTTATTTGGATGTGTTGTATAATGAGCAAGAATTGAACTTGATGTTTTGAAATTTGTATATGGTCTAATTGTTTGTATCTACTAAAGTGATGACATTCCTAGTATGATTTTTTGAGATGAGCTTTAATGTTTGCTCGAAGATGAGTAAAAGTTTAAGTGTGGGGTGTTGATGTGAGGCCAAAAATATATTTTTTTAATCATTATTTGTCTCACAGTTGTTATTTGTATTTATCCTTTTTGAGTATGAATTTTATTAATTGTGCTAAATAATGTATTTTATACATGGGAGTAAATTGGTGTAAAGTTGAAGAAACTTGGAGCTAAGCCGAATTAAAGAGAGAAGGTTGAAGAAGGAAATCAAGCAAGCAACTTAATGGATTAAAAGTTATAAAATAATACATAAAGTTAAATTGGAATTACAATTGCAATTCTGCTGCCACGTGTATGAATCTGAAGATAGGCACATAATTTGGTATGCACAGCTTCACGCGGAAAATAAAAAGAAATTCAACTCTGTTTTGGTTTTAGGTTCCTAATCTGATTGGGAATCCGTTATTTTATTTAGGATTTTCTACATCTATAAATAGTTCAGAGAAATAATAATTGGAGAGAAAAAAAATATAGGGGATCAAGTATAAAGTTGTCCATAATTTTTAGGGTTCTTTTCTTAGATATTAATAGCTAAAGAGCCCTGGTTTAGGGCTGCAGCTATGGGTAATTGTTGAACAGCTATTGTTTTGAATTAATATTGGCTATCACTTAAATTACTTTTGTATTCTTGTTTTAGTATTTCATGCTTGATCACCATAGAGATAAATATATTGTCTATTCTTTGACTCTGAAGACAATAAGGTAGATACTAGACCAAAGAATACAAAAGGCTTGATCTTCCATTAAATTGAGTTGATTTGTGTTTAGGAGTGACTTTCGGACGAACACCTGGCTTGGTTACAAAACTCGATTAATTGAGTCTCATCTATCGAAAACAACATTTCTTCCTCACATAACGTAGGGGTAAAGTCCGCATGCATTCTACTCTACCATATCTAAACCCTATTTATGGGGTAACATTGTGTATATTGTTATTTGAAACGTGTAGTGTAATTTCTCTTTCTTTCATAAACTCTCAAAAGGTCCATTAAGGTTCATAAGTTACATAGGACACGTCATGACTAAAGCCCCTCTTCCACAAGTATCCTTCCTTTGCAATACAATATCTACTCCCATTTTTCTCCATGGAAAATCTTTCACCATAGAAATAGAAAAAAAGGAGTTTCCTGTATTTTGGATTAGGAACTAAGAAGGCAATTGGAAGTTTCTCTAAGCAGTTGCAATGACCAAGTTGAAACCTTTGGTTTTTCTTTTATCAAGAAATTTGTAGATGGAGATAACAAAATACAAGGTCAATACAAGGCGAGCATACATGAGGATACTCTAAGCTACAAAGCAGAGCCCTATTAATCAATATATGCTTCTAACTCAGAGCCATATACATTTACATATTAAGCTGAACACCTTTTCTTTTGATAAGGTAATGTGTGTTATATTGATTGTCAAGCTATAACTATTTAAAAAATGAAACGGAGTTCCATATTTTCCACAATTAGACGAAATTAAACTTAACCCAAAATCATGAAAGGAAACATGTAGGCTAAAACTATTATCATCCAATTAGACATAACTTAGATCTCGTTAAATTTACTTCCTACTCCAATTACCTAATTCTATTCACTTTTAACTAATTCTCTACTACAATGAAATATTCGGCAAACTAAATCAAAGATAAAACTAAAGGAGTATAAAAATCCTAGAAATAATAAGAAAACTATGCAAGTCACAACCAATATAGTAGAATACTTTCTATAACTGTTGCGAGAATATCAAAATTCATGTGTCTAACTATTAATTAGATTGTACTATCTTTTCTTCATAGTTCCCATAACATAGAATAGATAAACTTCCTCATAAAACTATGAAGTATGGGTAATTATAGCACAAAATTACTGGTTTTCCACAACAAAGAAGGGAAAAAATGATAAACAATAACCTGCTAAAAGAAGTAGACCAATTCTAGCCCGAAATTTTCAATCACAGACGAGGAATATACACCAAACCACTGAATATATACATGTTTACACTCTTTTACAATTATGAGAATCCATCAAGAATTGACACATTTCACAATGTCTACAAGCTTAATTCAACCCTCACCCTTCATTTGGATTTGAAACAGGATATGTGAGCGAGCTCACACATGTGGACACTCTTTTATTATTTGTCATGATTAATTTGTATGTATCTAAACCATTTTTCAGGAAGAGTATCAAAAAACTTCTAATTTTCTCATTTTTCACTTGTAATAAACCATCCATACAAAAACTACAAAAGGAGAAAACTTGAAATGGATAGTGAAGAAAGGAAGAAAGTTTACTCACCGCAGTTTTTCCAGGGATAGAACAATGCCACACCATCAAATTGGCAGACCCATCTGGACCAGTTTCAGGCCTAGCTACAATCCCTAAGGGAAAAACATAAGAGACCCTTAAGTTAACTGAGCCATCAAATCCACAGATCTTAAAAACCCATTATTGTGCATCAATAGAGTAAAAAAAAAAAGTTACACAAAAAGTACTGAGTAGAAAAAAAATCAGAAGGGCATAGAATACATGTGGGTGATCCATCCTCCATAATCTGCGCTCCTCAGAAAGACGAAGACGTGCGATTCCGCCAACCATATTTTGCGATTTCCCCCTTTTCTACTCTCATTGTAAATTTTGAATGATAAAATCAATAATTTTCAAAGAGGCAACGGAAAATGAAAAGGTTTTTTTCTAGGAAACTGCACTTGTAATTTTAGTATGTAATTTCAAGTTGGATTTAATATAGCAATATAAATTTAATATTTGTTCTCCATCAATTTATGTCAATTTAACTTAATTTATTATGATTACGTGATTTCATAGTACATTAAATTTAATATTTATTTACTCTAACTTTAAAACAAATTAACTTAAATTTATTATAGTTACGTGATTTAATAGTGTAAATATATAAACTAATTAAGAATAATTTCCTAAATTTCCCTCCAAATTCAGCTTTATTACACTAATAGTTCAATAATAAAATGCTTATCTCTAATTATTTAAGTCAAATATTTGTACTAGAGAAATCAAACTTTACCTTTTTAAGTTCAAGGGATGATTTTTGCTCTTAAATAATGTCACGCTCCGAGCCTACACCCTGGGTGGGACTGGCACTGAGAACCATAACTGGCCCCAAGCGAGCCCCTGGCCTGGCTTAACTCTTAGCGGAAGACTTACTCATGATCAAAATACATTAAAAAGTAAACACAAATCTCAATAAATACTTAGAATGTATAAAGAACATTCACTAGCCCAAATGACACTCAAGTCACAAACATCAAAACATGAATAGAAAGGCTCAAGAACTAATATCAACTAATTGTGTCTCTGAAGCCTTTAACAACTGAGATGGACGTCGGGACAAGACCCTCGACATCCTAATGAACTAAAATGATAAAGTAATGAAAAAGGGGTCCTCCGGAAGCAAGGAGGCTCACCAACAACTCTAGAGCTCAACTAGAATCAGCGATGCGCAGGATGTTAATCCTGGTTACTTATATCTGCATCATAAAAGAGGCAGGCCAACTAACATCAATACATTGAATGTACGAGCATGCGAGGGGTATTCTAAACAAGACATAAGCTTGAAAGGAATCTAAAAGAACATATCTGGCTCAACTCAACTGAACTCATTTCAATATAAAACAATAAAATGAATGCAATATAAAGAAAAGTTTTTAAAACATTGATAACAACTGTGTGTATTGAAAAATACAGTAGTAACTCTGTTTGTATGCAAAGATACAATATAAACTTTGTTTGTATGCAAAGAAACAATATAAACTCTATTTGTATATAAAAATACAAGTAATCTATGTGTATATAATAATACAAAATATAACTGTGGGAGTTTCTCTAACTGACAACCATCACCTAATAGTTATGTGATGATACAACATTTTCCCTCACGCTACCAGGGTCGTCTTATACCTTGTCGAGGATGTAGAACCTACTACTAAGTGGAGTCACTAGTCTGCGCTAAAAAACACTAAGGAATAATCTTAAAAGAATGACCCTTTTTCTATCCATAATGGCTACATGGTTTATGGAGCCTGGGAGTTGTCTGAACTCTCCTCCATATCGGCGCTCAATACTACTCCCAAAATATAACTAGCTCATATGTTTAAAAATATAACTTCGGTGGTTTGAGATAATTACTCAAAAACTAGCCCAAAGGCTCTCTAGGAAATTAGTGTTTCCTCTCATGCTTAATTGTGAAAGCATATACTCTTTACTAAAAACTAGCTCAAAGGCTCTTTTGGAAATAGATGTTTAGAAGTCATTTAGAGTAACTAAAATCGATAGGAAATGTTAGCACACTTTGGAAGGACTAAAATGGGCTAAACGACAAAAACGGGTTGGGGCGGATGACTATGGCGCACCGCACCAGCCCCAAACTTCATAGGGCCATTTATGGTGCACTGCTGGCGCCCCGCCCCAGCCTTTCTGGCGCTACAGGCGTGTGCCGTGCCAGCATGCCCCCAGGCAAATCTGACGAATTTTTTCCTCTAGTTTTCAAACCTTAATTCGATTAATTTCTTTTTTTTTCTCAATATATGTTTAGATTCAGGTACCTAAAACATATACACAAGAATCTATCTCAAAGTAACTCTAATAATTGACATTAAACTCTCAAGAACTCCTTAATCTCATCCTAAATTCAAGAGCGAAAGCAATTCAAGAACACGACTTGAGAACATTAAATTCTCAATCTTCTAGGACAAAATTACATTGAATTAAACATGTTTGGCGCATGGGTGAACGAACCCAACACTATGTGAATTCACATACCTCGTTAGATTGGATCCTTGGTGTAATACACAATGAATCCCTCAAGAAAACGACGAATCTTGACTTTCCTCTTCTCTTCTCCTCTTGAGTTCTTCTCTCTAAAACCCTAGTGTTAATTTTCAATTGTGTGAACTAAACCAATTCGGTTTAGACCCTAATTAATTCACTAAAACCGAATTAAACCAATTGGGTATGGAAAAGACCAAAATACCCTTTTAAAATCCGGTTTTGAGTTTCCTTATCTAGACAGTCCGACTTCAAATGGGCATATCCCCCTCATACGAACTCCAAAATGAGAAAAGTCGGTGGAGTTGGAAAGATAATTCAATGCTCTTTCCAACTGTGTTTTGTACCCCATATAACTCATCATGTGCGAGGAGTTATGGTCGTTTGAAGTTGACCCAAAACTCATACTTAACATAACTTAGCCAAATTTCAGATTTTCATACTTTTCAAAAATGGTTTCTTTCTAATTCTAGTTCTTTCAAATAGTGAGGTGTTAAAATATCTCCCCCTTGGGAGCATTCATCCTCGAATGAGATTACTCTTAGTGGGCTAAAGGCATAGCATCTAACATTTAGCTCAAACACCCAACAAGCAAATCTAAGACATTCAATATATCAATTAAAGAGTACTAAGAAGGGAATTAGTACCTTGATCTGGAATTTCTCTGGGCTCAAAGAGATGTGGATATCTCTTCTTCATATCCTCCTCAGCTTCCCAAGTAGTTTCCTCAACAAATTGATTTCTCCACAGAACTTTGATTGATGCTACATCCTTGGTTCTTAACTTGCAAACCTGACGGTCTAGCATCTAAACATAAATTTTCTCATAAGACAAGGTATCCTTGATACTAATATCTTCGGTTGGTATAGTTAGTGAAGGATCGCCCATACACTTTTTCAACATTGAAATGTGGAATACTATATGAACTGCTACTAACTGTTGTGGTAGCTCTAACTCATAAGCTATATTACCAATCCTTTGGATATTCTATAAGGACCAATATATCAGGGACTAAGTTTCCCCTTCCTTCCAAATATCATAACACCCGTCATGGGTGAAACCTTTAAGTATACCCAATCATCTACTTCAAACTCTAAGTCTCTTCTCCTAACATCAATGTAGGATTTCTGACGACTCTGCGCTGTTTTCAACATTTCTTGGATAACTTTCACTTTCTCTATAGCTTTATGAACTAAGTCTGGTCCTATCAACCCAACTTAACCAACTTCGAACCATCCAATATGAGATATGCATCTTCTCCCATAAAGAGCTTCATAAGGAGCCATTTGGATGTTAGAGTGGTAACTATTGTTATAAGAAAACTCAATGAGAGGTAGGCGATCATACCAATTACCCTTGAAATCAATCACACAGGCCCTCAACATATCTTCTAAAGTCTGAATAGTGCGCTCTGCTTGACCATCTGTCTGAGGATGAAAAGTAGTACTTAGGTTCACCTTTGAACTCAAGTCTTTCTGAAAAGATTTCCAGAACTGAGTAGTAAATTGTGCACCTCAATCTGATATAATCAAAACAGTGACTCCATGAAGTCTTACTACCTCTTGAATGTATAACTTAGCATAATCCTCTACTGAATGGGTAGTCTTTACCAGCAAAAAGTGGGATGACTTTGTCATTCTATCCACAATCACCCAAATAGAATCATGTTGCCTTCGAGACCGTGGCAACACAGTAATGAAATCCATATTGATCATCTCCCACTTCCGTTCTGGAAGTTCTATATTCTGAGCCATACTACCGGGCCTTTGATGCTCTACTTTTACTTGTTGACAATTCAAACATTTAGCAACGAACTCAGCAATACCTTTCTTCATATTATTCCACCAATATATTTCTCTCAAGTCACAATACATCTTTGTGGAACCCAAATGGATAGAATATCTGGAGCTATGAGCTTCCTCCATGATCCTCTCTTGGAGTTCATCCACACTTAGTACACACAATCTACCTTGATACCTCAATAAACCATCTCCCCCTTGTTCAAAAGCCATAACTTTTTGCTTATGAACATTTGCCTTCCATTCAAGAAAAATAGGATCTTGGTCTTGCTTTTCTTTCACTTTTGACACTAATGATGATTTAGCCCCATTCATCACCACTACTCCTCATTCTATGGAATCCATTAGTCGAACTTCTAGTCATGCAAGTATGTGCACATCTTTCGCTAACACTCTCTTTTGTTCCTCAACATGGACAATCTACTCAAGGCATCAACAACAACATTAGCCTTACCTGGGTGATAGAGGATACTCATGTCATAATCTTTGAGTAACTCAAACCACCTCATCTGTCTGAGATTAAGGTCGTTCTGACTAAACACATATTGAAGACTCTTGTGATCGGTGAACACATCCACATGAACACCATAAATATAATGACGTCATATTTTCAAAGCAAATACTATGACAACCAACTCTAGATTATGGGTTGGATAATTCTGCATTAACACACAACCCAAACCAACTCTGGAAACATCACAATATACAACAAAACGTTGTGTACCCTCTGGTAAGGTCATTACTGGGCAGTAGTCAACCTAGTTTTCAATTCCTGAAATCTTTTCTCACAAGCTTCAGACCATTGAAACTTCACTATTTTCTGAATCAACTTGGTCAAAGGGGGAGAAATAGATGAGAACCCCTCTACGAACCTTCTATAATAGCCACTCAACCCCAAGAAACTCCTAATATCCGTTTGAGATGTGGGTCTAGGCCAATTCTACACAGCCTCTATTTTAAAGTGTCAACTCTAATTCAATCACCAGAAACAATGTG